CAATGAAGGTCCTCACTAAGATAGCTGAACAGGCTTGTGTGTGTGTGTGTGTGTGTGTGTGTGTGTGTGTGTGTGTGTGTGTGTGTTGGCAGCGTCTTATCTCCGCTCACAGAGACGTGACCACACCCAGCCTATCATCGTTTATGTAACGGCTGCTCTCATTGGCCGATGCGGATGACATCACAGTGTCTGTGGCGTGTTTGATCTGACAGGAAGTTTAAACGTTTCTTTATTTCCAGCAGAAGAAGAGATGAAATCAGCTGTTTTTGTTGCGTCTTCACGTCAAAGTTTGGATTCGTTTCCCTGATAAACTAATAAAACCAAACAGGAAACGCTGGTTTTTACGGCGCCCCGCCAGCGTCTGTCTCGCCTCCGATCCTCGTGAGGTTTCTGAGGCGGAGATTTGACACTCTGCCCCGAACAGACCCAGACTCATCCTTCCTTCCTCCCTCCCTTTCCTATTCCCTTCTTCATTTCATCTTCTTGTTTTTTGCCAAATCTCTACCATTCATGCTTCCTTTTTATTTCCTACATCCTTACTCCCTTCTCCAACATTTTGTTTTTGTCCCCTTTCTTTCCTTGCTTCATATCCTTTACTTATTCCCTACCACCTCCTTTCATCCCTTCTTCTGTCAGATCTATTCGTGTGTCTTTATGCAGGCTCTGTCCTTCCATCCTCGCTTCCTTGCTAGTGTCTCTTTTTTCCTCACTTCCTTCTCTCGCTACCTACCTCCCTCCTTTCCTTTTAATCTCTTCCTTAAAGTTTTCTATTTCCTTTCCAAACTTCTGTTTCCTTCGTTATATCTCTCATTCTTTCCTTACCACCTTTCCTTCCATTCTCTTTTTTCCACCCTGTTCCCTCTCTACTCTCTTATTTCCTTCTTTGTCACCTTTATCCATTTCCTACCTCCTTCCTTTCTTTTCCCTTGCCTTGCTCATCTCCCTTCCTCTCCATGCTTCCTGTTTCCATCCCTCCTGTCCTAGTTTCCTTTCCTTTAACATTAACTCGTTCCTTCTGTCCTTCTCTCTCGCTGTTTTAAGGAAGCCATATTTTATTTGATCATGTGACAGGTTTGATTTGCAGCTGTGTGGAATAAAAACAGGTCACTGTGAAGCGTCGGGGTGGTTCTGAACGTGTTGTTCTGAAGCTCGGCCGGCTGCAGGATATCAGCCGACACTTAGAATTCCTGCAGCCTAAAGGCCTGCAGCTCCGCCCCCTGCCTCATCCTCACAGCATCGACAGCCCCCCGTCGCCTCCTCGGCCCCCTGCTGCACTCGCAGATAAGAGCCGAGGCCTCCGTCGTGGTATTAAAGGACCAGGCTGCACTTTTACAACCCGAGGATTAAACTGGAGCCCAGAACACCACAACACGTCCCTGAAGTCACGTTAGGCGTCAGGAGCCCCGCCCCCTGACTCAGACCCTCAGAGGGTGACAGCTGGAAGCTGCTGCTTCACAGTAATACAACGAGACAATCAGACGAGCTCCTGAGAGCGAGCACTTGGTGAGAGTAGGAACAAAAAACTGGAGCACGCTCAGGGAGGGGCGGGGCCATCTGCTGTGACAGGTTCAGGGTCATGCTGCACACCTAACCTGCTCTGATCTGAGGTCAGAGGTCAGCAGGTACAAAACCACCGCCGACTGACCAATCAGATCTCTGGAAAATCGAAGGCTCCCTCAGACCTCAGCGCGCTGACAGTGACAGCTCTGCAGTGTTTGTCTGCGCTCAAGGCGACGGCCTCATGCCGCGAAGCAACGAGAAGACAATGAATCAAACTCCTCACCATCACTGAACAGACCGGCGTCCAGCGTCTGTGCGGCAGACGCAGGGGAGGAGCTGAAGCTGCAACACAAACCTTCAGATTAGAGCGAACGCAGCCGTTAGCTCACAGCTGCACCTCCAGCAGGTTCCTGTACGCGCTGCAGCAAAGCCCCAAACTTTCTGTTGTATAACATGAGTGAAGATGACTCATGTGTCCAGAAATAGAGAAGAAGAGCGCCCACGCAGCACGGCGAGGCGTTCAGGGACTCTACGAGCATACGGGACGCCTCTGAGGACTCCACAGACTAGCGTGCGCCTCTGGATATGTGAAAGATTTACAGACGCAGATGATTTTCCACCAAGAGCCCAAAAACCACGACAGCAGGAGAATGTTAACTGCACGAGACACACACGAGCAGCCACGCTCAGCGCACACACGGTCGTGTATGACTGAAACAGTGTTACGTCCCCACATGAAAGCTAGAAGAGTCATCAAGGTGACTCCAGAAGAAGA